CAGCTCGAAGGGCAGGAGCCCCCCGCTGTCGGCCTTCCAGGGATCCGCCTTGTTGACGAGGAGCACGCGGACAGCATTGTTGGAGCCGTGCTGGCAGCTGTAGTGGAAAGCGGTGCGCCCGTTCTTGTCGCAGACCGTGGCAGCGCAGGAATGGAACTCGCTCGCTAGCTTCATTACCTGCACTTCGAAATTGAGCACGCACGCCTCGAACATCAGCTCATTTACCAGGCGCTGCTTCCTGTAGTGTGCATGTCCTCCGCCCTTTTTGGCATTCACGATGTTCTCGACGTGCAGCTGGACCTCGCCGACCATGCCGTCAGCCCTGAAGAGCATGCTGATATCGCGGTACCCGTCCCGCACCTTCTGGAACCTGTCGGTGACCTCGACGAGGTGCCAGTCGGTCCGGTAGCGATGCAGGTCGTCGTCGAGTATGTCGACGAACGCTTCGTACAGGGAGTCGATGTCAGGATAGACGATGGAAGCGCGCATCAGGTCAGTCAAACAAGCGGTGTCGTTGCCGTACTTCGTGAGCGCCTTCGCCCGCGCCCGATCGCGCCCCTTCAGGTCCGGACACAAGGCAGCCCCGCCCGACTCGAGCGCGATGCGCCTCACCTCGCGCATGAGCTTCAGCTGCGGCGTCGCAGTGGCGCTGTACAGAGCGCTCATGCCGAGGATCTCGTAGCTGCAATCCTGCCTTCCGCGCTCGATTGGCCTAGCCTCGCGCAGCAGCCGGCAGAGTCGATTGACCCGGTCGAAGTAGGGCTCCGCCTTCTCCTGGCCCCCAGCGCTCTGGAACGCCGCGTCGTACTGCTTCAGCATCACCGCGCTGACGTCCTGCTCCTCCTCTTCCCTGGCGTGTGACTCGTCGGGGCCCTGCATGTCCATCAGCTCTGTCACTCGCTGGCTGAACTCCATGCCCCTCAGGCAGCTCTCCACCACCTCAAAGAAGCGCTGGGTCGTGAGGCTGGCGGGCTCCTGGTGCGCCTGGCCCGCCGCCTGCCACCGCGCCATCAGCGAGGCCAGCCCGCGCTCCATGATAGCTGCCTCCGAGGCGTGCTTGGCCGCCTGGGACCTCCTGCCTTGCAGCTTCTGGTGAGCCGCGTCGGCGGCGATGCCTCTGACTTTTGACCAAGGCGACGCTTTTCCGAGCGACTGCGAGCTCTTGCCAGCATCCTCCTCGTGACTCTTCTCCTCCTCCTTCTCCTCCTCCTCCTCCTCCTCCTCCTCCTCCTCATCATCATCATCCGCCTCCTCCTCCTCCTCCAAGGCGTCCACAAAGCACACCTCTCGCGTTCTGCCACCGCGAACGTCCGCCTCGGTCGGCTGTGCCGCTGCCACGTGCGCGGGCGGCGCAGGAGGCTCGGCCGCGGCGGCGGGCGCCGCGAAGTCCCGCTGCAGCGGCCCCCCCGGCAACGGCGGACGCGCGGGCGCGGAGCCCGAGCTCGCTGGGGCCGCCCCGTCCACCAGCACGGGCTCGGAGGTGCTCCGCCTGGGGCTGGGGGCAGTCGGGCGCGGGCGCTCGGGGGCGGGCGCGTCCGAGCCGACGCCTCCCGGCGGCGGCGCCGCGGCCGGCGGCCTGTCCTCCTCCGAAGCCTGCTGCTGCGGCTGCACCTGGTGCTGCTCCTGCGGCCGCCCACGGCGCTCGCCTGGGTGCGGCGCTGGCCGCGGCTGGAGCTGCCGGCCGCACTGCTGCTGCAGCTGCTGCCGCAGCTCCTGCAGCTCGAGCTCGTGCTCGCGCAGCTGCTGCGACTGCAGCTCCCGCAGCTGCTGCACCTCCCGCCGCTGCTCCTGCAGCGCCCTGTCGAAGTCTCGCTGCCGAGCATCCTGGACGCTGTGGGAACGGCTGCTGACGTCCCTGAGCAAAGCCTGGCAGGCTGCGAGCTCTTGTCGGCTGGCTTCCAGCTCCTGGCGCTGCTCGCGGCACTCGGCATGACAGGCGTCAAGCTCCCCGCGCTGCTCGCGGATCTCAGCTTGGCTCTGGCGCAAATCTCGCTGGCACTGGACGAGCTGACGCTTCAGGTAGTTCAAACAGAAGGGTACCCTTGTCGGGTCCAGGCTGAGAGGGAGGCCGTTCGCATCCAACTTCTCTGCTCGGCCCCTCTGTGGCGCCCTCTGCGAAACGGGGCGGGCGCCCTGGCACACCAGCGCAGGCGCAGCTGGCTCCCGCACAGGTCGCATCTGCGCTGCCTCCTCGTGCGCGGCGGTGCCGCGAAGCGCCAGGTAGTGGTTGTGGCGGCTGGCCTCTAGCTGAGACGCGACTTCTCGGTACTGCCGCTCCATGCTCGCCAGCCGCGTTCTGAGGTCCTGCACCTCCAGAGCGGCGTCCAGCGCGTCCACCGAGGCGCCGCTGCTGCTCACGAGGAGCGAGGCGCCCCCGACGAGGCACCGCGGGCCCGCCTCTGCCAGCGGCCTCAGCAGCTCGGCGCGCAGCTCCGTCCGCTCGTCGTCGCTGGCCCTCGGGGGCAGGTCGGCCTCGCTTCCGAGGCCGAGCCCGCCGCCG